GGCTATGGAAGTTAAGGCTTGAATATATTGTTGACAATATTGATGAGATATCTTACCTATTAATATGGGACTGTTCAAAGACCACCCAGAAAGAACTGTCAAGTTCTATATAAGGCTGAAGATTTGTCAGTTTTTAATTACACATCTACCAATTATTAATTTATCCCCACCCCATCCTTGTTCCATGTTCAGAGAACCTAATTGCCCATATTTTATTCCTACAAGAACTCTATGCAGTAGATTAGGCAGAGAACTAATGATACGCTTGGGGTCTCCATCTTTTAACCTCATTTGCTGAACTAAACTGACTCTGTTGAAGACCCCTCCTTACAGTTAATTAGACTGATCTTTAAAATGTGGCTATTGCTAAGTACTGGTGTTACAGCAAGGATTAGATCTGTCACATATTTTTTATTATTTATTACGGCATTAATTTTTTATCCCGCTCTTCTTCCAAGCTGTTCAAGAATTTACCAGCCTTGTGGCATCACATTTCAAAACACACCGATCAAACAGGCAGAAAGTTGGCAAACCCAGTGGGCAGAAGGGGATTTGAAAAGTGAAGCAAGGATGGCAACTTTTGGGAAGTCTTTCAACAGAAAGTGATTTATCAGTGCAATAGAGCAAAACAAGGGCTTGGCACAACAGCATTAGCAAAGCAACAGCATCAAAACCTGAAAGGAAGACAAGGTCAATCTGTCCCACATATACACTAGTGGCCAACGAAGTAGGACTACTGCTAAGGGGATGTAAACGATCCTGCATTAATGATCACATTCTCCGCACTTGAGCAAACACACCAACTCTTGAGAATCTCTGGCTCCTTCTAATAAAGAGAACTCATTTCTCTTTCAGTGACTCAGTGGCCAATGCTATCACCACCAATCACGATTAGACTAACTATAATTTAGCCCTTAAGGACAATTAATGGTCAAAATGAAAAGGTTTACTTAATAATGCAAAACATATCTCTGTGTATCTCTCCCAAGATTTCATTTGACCTGTTTTAACTTCTTATTTCCCACCAGCAGCCTGTGCTTTAAGGAGGAACACAACATTCCAATATTTCAGAAAGAAGTGCCCTTCTGTTTGGATCGCTGGCTTATGTTTTTCTCTCCAAATGTATGTACTGTATTTCAATTGAGAATGACATTCAATTACAGCTGCTTCTCCCAATGTGGAGCCTCCAGTGGCGCAGTGGGTTAAACCACTGAGTTGTTGAATTTGTTGACCAAAAGGTCGCAGGTTTGAATCTGGGAACGGCGTGAGCTCCTGCTGTCTACCCTAGCTTTTACCAACCTAGCAGTTCGAAAATATGGGAATGTGAGTAGATCAATAGGTAACACTCCAGCAGGAAGGTAACTGTGTTCCATGCAGTCATGCTGGCCCCATGACCTTGGAGGTATCTATAGACAACGGTGGCTCTTCGGCTTTGAAATGGAGATGAGCACCAACCCTCAGTCGGACACAACTGGACTTAATGTCAGGGGAAAACCTTTACTTTTTCTTACTCCCCCAATGCAATGCCCTCCATATATCCTAACTACAAGAACTAGAACACCCCACCACTTGCTGATTGATGTTTGACTTGAGTTGTGATCCAAGGCATCTGGAGGGCGCCATACTGGGGAAACTCAAGTTTTAAATAATTTATTTTTAATATAAACTTCAGAAGTTAGTGCTGCCACTATTTGCTTTGGTCTACAATGCTACCTAATTATTTGCCATAAACCTTTGTTCTATTAGTATGCAGTTGTTAATCCCAAGCGATGCAGACCAAATGAATGATGGATTTAGTTTATAATCTATGTTCAATTATCTTCAGTAAGACACAATTTTATGTTTTGGGTAAATGCAAAATAAATTCTTTATTGCAAGATGAGATACTACAGCCTTCTCCTGAAAGGGTTTTTCATACTTATAAAAGCTCCATGTCAATCATCTTGGTGTTATCATCTTGCAAGGCCATTTTTATAATGGGTTGCTGTGAATTTTCTGGGCTGTATGGCTATGTTCCAGAAGCATTATCTCCTGATGTTTCACCCACATCTATGGCAGGCATCCTCAGAGGTTGAGGGTCTGTTGGAAACTAGGCAAGTGAGGTTTATGTATCTGTGGAATGTCCAGAGTGGGAGAAAGAACTTGTTTGTTTGAGGTACGCGTGAATGTTGCAATTGGTCACCTTGATTAGCATATAATGGCCTTGCAGCTTCAAAGCCTGACTGGTTGCTGCCTGGGGGAGTCCATTGTTGGGATGTGTTAGCTGGCCCTGACTGAGTCTTGCCTGATTGATTCTTTGTTGGGAGGCATTAGCTGGCCCTGATTGATTCCAGACAAGACTCCAGACAAGCCTACCAGAGAGCCTCACAATCTCTGAGGATGCCTGCCATAGAAGCTGGCGAAACGTCAGGAGAGAATGCTTCTGGAACATGTCCATACAGCCTGGCCAACAAACATCAAGGAAGGAAGACAAACCCTATTCTCAATTTCTCTCTCTCATACACACAAACGAAAATTACAAGGGATTAGTAATGTAATGTATAAACCACAAAATATCCATCAAGCTTTAATATAGCAAACTAAGTAGTGGGCCACAGGATAAATTACAACAACATGCAGGTTGATGTATATAAGATTACAATTCAAACACTATAAAACAAGTGTGTACAACTATAGAATGAATGTTTGCTTCTGAAACAGACGGCTGTTGTGTACTTTAAGCCAAAATGTGGCATGCGTCAATTCTGGTTTGTAGCTCTGTGGGTTTTCATCTTGCTTTCTTCATTTAAGATTTGAGGGTTAAGGACTCCAGTTAAGTTTTTTTTTCACTTGCAAAGTAACTTTTAAAAACTAGAGGAACCCAGAGGCTTCAGGTATTTATGGACCATGGAAAGAAGGATTCGGGACTCCATGCACTCTACAGACCACATTTACCCTCTCCTGGATTAAAATAACAAAGTAATTAAAGATTATGACAACTAGCAAAATATTCAACTAGCAACAGAAGTGGTATTTAAGGTGCTGCAATGGCATGCAGCACTACATCTAGTGGGGTAGTTACACATTTCTAAGTGCTTACATACTTCATGGTAGCCTATAGCCATGGCCCCAAAAAGTGAATCCAGAGAAACAGACAGCTGTATCCAGTTGCTAGAACCATATTACATTTTACAACAAATCAACAGAAAAAGCAGTTCAACACACAGTAACGTTTTGTAGTAATTACTGTATTTATGAATTTACATAAATACAGTAGTAATTACTGTATTTATGAATTTACTGTATTTATGAATTTATGTAGCACCAAAACATCACAATGTATTGAAACAGCTGTGTACCCAGGCAGGAGGCAGACTGCGTTGGATAATACAGAACGTTGGATGAGTGAAGGTTGGATATGCGAGACTCTATTATAATAGAAGTGTCCTGCTATTAAAGGTCTTAATTCGTCAACCTTCTGACCTTTCTCTCCATTACATCACTGATTGAATCTGAGTACTATAGTAATCCTTTGCAAAAAAAAAAGTGGTACTTCAAATGCTATTAAGCAGCTGCTCTCATCAGCCCTGGACAACCTAAGTAATGATATGAAATACAGGACAACGTCATCTGCTTAGTTACATGCATCCCATCGCTGCCATGCACCATCACCCATCCTCACCTCCACATAGATACACACATTAATTTTCCGTCACTGCTATTCATGCTTGGAACAGACGTCATGGATTAATGTCGTTTCTGCCTCTTCTCAATAATTTCAGGAAAAGTTAATTAAAGCAGAATCCAAGAGTGACCCAGAAAAGCCCCACTAAAATGTTTGCTACAGCTGGATAAAGTGCCACGCGCAGAACTGATTTTGTTTACCACCTGTATCCAATGACCCAGTTTCTTTCACATCGAAAACATACAACAGGATATGGCTACTCTTTGTAACTTTTATGAAGTACTATAAAAAAGATGAACAGCATTTATGGGCAGAACTGAGTAAAGTCTGGAGAGAAAGAAAACGCCATTCTGTAACCCTATAATGGCAACAATCAAGGAACACAAAGAAACATGGAACATCAGCACAGATTTTAACAACTGGCTCCTGTACATTTCTGGGAAATGAATGAGCATAATGTTCTTCTGATACAAAAAGGACAAATGCATTCAGCTTTTGTAACCTGTAAACAACAGCATTCAGAAGGTGTGAATAGAAACAAGAACATTCATTTAAGACCTACATCTCAAAAACCAAATGATTTTTCTCGTGATTCAGATAACATTATTTCAATCAAGTGCGCTTCAATAAAAAACATTATTTCCTCAGAGCGGACAAACTTGTTTTCATCTATTCTAGGGGGATAATGCATTTTTCTAGTAATATCTCATACCTATTAAGTACTGAAGTATTATCTTTTAAAGAAAAATAATAGCACTTGTTATAACATCCAGGCAGCAATACCAACAAGAACAGCTAAAAGTGGTGAGCAATTATGTGATGTGTTGGAGCATGCAAGGAATCAGCTAATGTGTGTGTCAACTGTAAAATAAGATGCACAAAGCTGATTGGTCGGAGATGGCTGAGCCTGGGACTTTTGGATACTGTTGCATTTTTGTTCAGGTTTGAACTATGCAGCTGCAGAGAGAGACAGTTTGAAGAGAGAAACAGAGAGAGATATTTTGGAGCATGCTCTCGCTTCATGAGCTTCTAAAGGAGTTTATCCACATGGACAGAAGAAAGATCATTTTAAAAAGACATTATGTGAGTTGGTGCAACTGATTACATTGTACATATGTTGTTCTGAACTATGAAGAGTAAACTACTTGTTCTTTATTGATAATCTGCATGGCATATTTTCTTTCTCTGGCAAGGCAGTGTGGCATAATGTAAAATAAACCACATGTAGTGTAAAATAAACTACGCGTGGTTTATTTTACATTATGCCACATGATGTGGCTGAATTCTCAGAAGTGAAGAATAGTAGACAGAAAAGATATGAAAAGAGAAGTCTTACCTTGAATTCTTTTTCAATATTAGCCAGTTTGGCAAGCTCATTGCTAAGCTCTAGAGCCGTGAGAACAGGGTCTTCACTAGACAAGGACAGGTAGGCAGGACTTGCCAGTCCCTTATATGCGTTTATCCTTGACCTGGAATGACTAAAAGAATCGATCTTTTGTTTTTCAGTGCAGTCGTTGCATTTGCAAAAATAATCGTGAGGTCTCTCTATCCTTGCACCTTTCATCAACAGCATATGTACCACCTCATACTTCTGACAATGAGCAGCTAAAATAATGGGGGTGATGTCTGGGGAAAAGCGGGTGCCATCTTCGTCATAAGAGTAAAAGTCATCGTCCTGAAGCTCCTGCTCACAGGGACTCAAAGTCAGTCGCTTGCTAGCGGCAAAGCCAGGGTGATTCAAGATCGCTTCCACTATTCGGACATATCCTTTACTAATGGCAAGCAGCAGGGCATCTCCAATCCGTGCCAGGTTCTCCTTCTTTAACAGGAGTTCTGTCACTTCCAAATGTTCATTCCCAACTGCAAGCTGCAGGGCATTTTGACCCATGTAGTCCACACAGTTGACATTCAGTGTTTTTGACTCCTCCAACATTTTGCGCACCACAGGGATGTTCCCATACTCTGCTGCATCAAGAAAGCGCTCTTCCTCGGCTGTGAGGCTTGTGCCCCTCTCATTGAACATAAAAGCTGGGCCTCGAATTGCTTGGCGCCTCCCTTTTTCTCTCATCACAGTCATACGTCTCAGCGAAGGGCTTCCATCAATGGACCTGATTAACAGAAACAACCAAGTTGTAATATTTTATAGTAGTCATTTCCCCTAGTGGAATATACCGCCAGCATGGACAACTGTGACCTTACAGAGGATTTTGGCATGTAACTCCCATCAATCCTATTATTGTCTGAGATATCAGGAAACTAACCATCATAAAGGCCAGCATATGGTCATGATGAGTTTTCCCAGTCAAAATGAATAAGACATCATTTTGTATTATGTTCTACCCATGGCGCAGTGGGTTAAACCACTGAACTGCTGAACTTGCTGACTGAAAGGTTGGTGGTTCAGATCCGGGGAGAAGGGTGAGCTCCTGCTGTTAGCACCAGCTTCTGCCAATATAGCAGTTCAAAAACATGCAAATGTGTGTAGATCAATAGGTACTGCTCCGGTGGGAAGGTAACGGCACTCCATGTAGTCATGCCAGGCACATGACCTTGGAGGTGTCAACGGACAATGCTGGCTCTTCGGCTTAGTGATGGAGATGAGCACCAACCCCCAGAGTCGGACGTGACTAGACTTATTGTCAGGGGAAAGCCTTTACCTTTTACCCATGGCACCTAATATTCCCACCTCCCTAATGATTTTTTTTCCCTTTACCCTGTGTCTTCTTGGATAGGTGCAAGTCTGTATTTCATGTGATCCCTTCCCCCAATGTCCACAGATTTCAATGTTTACATTATTTTAGTACCATCACCACATGGTTAAAGTAAAGCATCTTAGTTTCATTACTTGGCTCATCTTCTAGATATCCTACATAGGTCAGACTCCCCAGAAAAGTATAGGATACATTCCAGCATAACTGGGAGGCAGGGGACTAAAATATTATGTAAGCAATAGTGCATTCACTCTCACATTTCATTTCTGCCATTACATTTTCCATTCATCCACTCTGCATATTTTTGCACTGCCAATCAATTATCAGCTCTAAATTGATTGCATCAACAGCATTTCAAGGGTAGACTAACAAAACACTTTATTACTTTGAAGCAAAATGAGCTATTATTAATCAAAAGTAGCATCGTTTTCCAAAAGATTAATATGAAAGAACAAATATAGTCCATGCATATCAAGTCTGTACATGCAACTCAATATCAGAAAAATGAAATTGACAGTTATGAATGACTCAAACGACACTGAATTAAATACCATAGTATAGGAAATGCATATCTGAGTCCACACTGCATTAACACATATTTCATCAATTCTTATTAAACGAATGGGAAATATTGGACACCTAGCAGTCTCATTAACACACACCCCACACACATATTATACTATTTCCATAATAGAACTCAATTAAATCAAACTTTCTAAATAAGGCCTTACATATGTTTGTGGATCCAAAATTGTATATATAAAACCACCCGGAAGGACACAGCAGTCTATCCATATTGTAGAGTCAAGATCAAAATTTTCCATAATGAATTACTGGAGAAGAGGCTGTATTTTATTAGCTAATTGTAATTATGAGTTTGTTTGTTTGTTTGTTTGTTTATTTATTTGCAGCCTGAAAGACAGTTGCATCTGTAAAGTAGGAAATTTAGGTACTGCTTCTATGGGGAGGCTAATTTAACTAATTTATGATGCCATAAAAATCTCCAGCAGCATGCAAAAGAATGAGGAAGTACACCATCAGTGTCACAAGTGGATGGTGAAGCAACAGCTCCCCCAGTGGGCAGAATTCAAAGCATACCCTCATGAAGCTGGAATGTTAAATAGTCTCTTTGTGTCTGTCTATATATGTTGTGTGTCTATGGCATTGAATGTTTGCCATGTATATGTGCATTGTGATCCACCCTGAGTCCACTGCGGGGTGAAAAAGGTGGAATATAAATACTGTAAATAAATAAATAAATAAATATTTATATCCCGCCTTTTCTCTACCCCAAGGGGGACTCAAGGTGGCTCACAAATGGCACCTACACAATGCCTCAAACATACAAATACAATAAAATGAATTAAAATTAAAATACTCACACTATAACATGGTTAAATACATTCAAGGTTAAAACATGCCACCCAGGGATCAAAGTCTAGGCCATTCCATGGTCAATTGCACATATTCCACATTGAAAAATTACTGCACAGCCCTATTTTTCGAAAGCCTGCTCCCTGAGCCAGGTCTTTACTCTTCTTCTGAAGACTAGGAGGGAGGGGCCACCACTGAGAAGGCCCTGTCTCGTCCCCACCAACCACACCTGTGAAGAAGGTGGGACTAAAAGCAGGGCCCTCCCAGGCGGTCTTAGTCTCTGAGCTGGTTCATAGGAGTAGATATATTCGGACAGGCAGACTGGGCTGGAACTGTTTAGGACCTTATAGGCTAAAGTCATCACTTTGAATTGCGCACGGTAGCAAACTGGCAGCCAGTGGAGCTGATGTAGCAGAAGGGTTGTATGCTCCCTGAACGCCACTCTGGTGAGCAATCTGGCTGATGTTCATTGGACCAATTGAAGCTTCCAAACAGTCTTCAATGACAACCCCACGTAGAGCGCATTGCGGTAGTCTATAAGGGATGTAACCAGAGTGTGGACCACTGTGGCCAAGTCAGACCTCCAAAGATATGCGTGCTGCTGGGGCACGAGTTTTAATTGTGCAAAAGCTCCCCTGACCACTGCCAAGAAGATGGGCCGAGGATTACTCCCAAGCTGCGAACCTGCGCCTTCAGGGGGAGTGTAACCCCGTCCAACACTGGCTGTAACCCTATATCCTGTTGAGCCTTTGGATTTTCGAATTACTTTTATCTTAGCCGTTCCAGTTCTTAACAGGTTTCTAATGCATTTTAAAAATTTATTTATTTATTTATTGCATCTCTAGACCTCCATCTAAAATACAGACATGTGCTTTCCACCTTAGGAACAGACAAGCGTCCTGAGCTTTGAGGATTACCTGGAAAGGAATTCCACAGAAGCATTGCAGCACACCCAAATACTGGGAGTTACCCTGGACCATTCTCTGACCTACAAAAGCACTGCTAGAAACAATATCATACGAAAGCTGACTGGCACGACCTGGGGATCACAACCAGATACAGTGAAGACATCAGCCCTTGCACTTTGCTACTCTGCTGCTGAGTATGCATGCCCAGTGTGAAACACATCCTACCACATTAAAACAGTGGATGTGGCTCTTAATGAGACATGTCGCATTATCACAGGATGTCTACGCCCAACACCACTGGAGAAATTATACTGTTTATCTGGTATTCAACATCTGACATCTGCTGGGAAGTAGCAGCTAATAATGAAAGGACCAAGGCAGTGACATCTCTTGCCCATCCTCTGTTCAGATTTCAGCCAGCACACCAATGCCTTAAATCAAGAAATAATTTTCTAAGATCTACAGAAATATTCACAGGAACACCTCAGCAAGCAAGAGTCCAAAAGTGGCAGGCTAAAACCCAGAACCTGAAGCCATGGCTGATATTGGATAAGAATGTATCCCAACATGAAGAAGTCGAGGATTCGCAGCATTAGGAAGATTGAGAACCAGTGATCTAAAGCTCATTGTATTCTTGGACATACCTAAGTCTAAATCTCAACTACACTTACTTGACTAAAGGAGACTTCTCTGCTTCCTCCCCCTCCATAAGACAGCAGCTCACAATTCTGAAAATGCATTGGTGACCTTGTTGAATGGGTGGGTCAGGGTGCACCGGAGAAGTCACACAAATCTAGCTAAAGTTATAGAATCTTTCAACAAAATATCACTCAAAAAGAGAATACTTCATTTTTCTACTATAATCAAGGGATCTAAAATGGTTCTATGAGGGATTGTGCTATTATTTACTGAACACATCCCTCCTTTCTCTCTGGTTTTAAGTGGCTAAAAGCTTATTAATTATTTTCCTTGTTCCTCTCCATCACTCTAAACTGAGAGCATGGAAAGCTATCACCTAAGGGCACTTGTAACAAAAACAATTTTGATGCTGTCACATATTGTCAAGTCAAAAATCAACAGCCAAGGAATCAAGCAAAGGTATAGCTGAGAACACTAAGAGATTCCTGCACAGCATACAAATGTCCTGCTATAAGAATAATGGTCGGCATGGTTCACCATTATGACATTTCCGCTCAACCATTTTTTTTAAAAAAGCAGTTGAAACCTCAAAAGTTGGAAGGACATTTGCTGTGAAAGTACTTTAATTAAATGTTGAGTATCGAAAGCTCTCTGTCAAAGGAAAGGATCTACAATAATACACTCAATTTGACAGATCTCACTGACAGATACCTTCTGAATGTTCCCACCTCTAATAAGATGAACACTTAATCTTTCAAGGGTTTCTACCAAAGACAGGCCTTCCATTACACAGTGAGACTATCACCCAAGGCAACAGATACAAAGGGGGTTGGCAACAGTAGCTTCTTTTGAACTCCCATCCTGCTTTTGAAGGACAGAATTGTGTTTGCTGCAGAGCCTACTCAAGAATATTGTTGAAGGCTTTCATGACTGGAATCGCTGGGATGTTGTAAGTTTTTCAGGCTGTATGGGCATGTTCTAGAAGCATTTTCTCCTGATGTTTCACCTACATCTATGGCAGGCATCCTCAGAGGTTGTGAGGACCTCACAACCTCTGAGGATGCCTGCTATAGATGCAGGCAAAACATCAGGAGAAAATGCTTCTAGAACATGCCCATACAGTTGAAAAACTTACAACAACCCACTACCCTAGAGTATTTTCACACTATACAATATGGTTTCACTTTAACTGCCATAGCTGTATCCTATGGATTTGTAGAATCATAGAATAGAATCATAGAGTTGGAAGATACGTCATGGGCCATCTAGTCCAACCTTCTACCAAATAGCAGGAAAATCGCATTCAAAGCACCTCTGACTGATGGCCATCCAGCCTCTATTTCAAAAACCTCCAAAGAAGGAGCCTCCACCACATTCAGGGGCAGAGAGTTCCACTGCTGAACAGCTCTCACAGTTAGGAAGTTCTTCCTAATGTTCAGGTGGAATCTCTTATCTTGTAGTTTGAAGCCAGTTGCT